ACCTCCAGTATTTGGGTAGGAAGGGGGGATCCGGTGGAACATTTGGTTTTATAATTTTTGGCAGGCATTTGGTCGACTACTTTCCTGTCCTTGCGTATATTCCATGGATACGATTAAAAAAAGAGGCAGAAGTAGGTTTCCGCCACGCCGTGAGGGGTGTGTTCATTGGTATTTATGAATCTGCAGTTCCTCCGCGCGGCGCGTGAAAAGTTCCTGGATAAAACGTTCCAGCATGCATTGTCTCAAGACAAAGTAGGTCTGCAATGTAGCTTCCGTAGAAGCCTGGTAGTGATTGCCTTTAGTCTTTGTCTATTGTGAACAGACTGGTGTTATCTGGGAAGAACCCAGATTCCGTCAAGCTTGCTGCTGGCTCCTTCTACAATGGCGGCGTGGATACGACCCTCGTCGGGATAAAAACCTTCCTCGCTGCGATGATGCTTTATCCTGAGGTGCAAAAAAAGGCACAGGAGGAATTGGACGAGGTGCTCGGCACCTTGTCTGAGAATGAGGTGATACGTTTACCAACGTTTGATGAGTGCGTGGCGTACTTACTCTGGAATGTTCCTTATCCTTTTCTGACACTATTCCGTTTTGGTTTCAGTCAACATCAACTTCCATATCTAAACGCTGTGATCAAAGAAGTTCACAGATGGAATCCTGGTGTGTTTTACACGCCCATACGGACGGGTTCCAGGATTGATCCAGTCTATCAGTGCTTCCTCTTGGAATGGGTCATGCCCCTGTAAAGGATGGTATTTATAAAGGTGCCACATTGTCGTCTTGAGCAGCATAAACACAAGCTCACCAGCTCCGTAGGGTACTTTATCCCTCGTGATTCGATCATCTTCCCAAATCAATGGTTAGTATGTTCTCCGATCCTGCTCCGCAATGCTCGATGCTTGTCTCTCATCATTCGGCATGCTCAGGGGGATGAGCAGAGACGAACGTTATTACACAGAGCCCGAAAAATTTAAACCCGAACGGTTTTTGGGTGACAGTCCTGCTCTCGATCCTAAGGAATTCATATTTGGATTCGGCAGAAGGCAATTGTTTCATGCCCAACGTAACAATCTTCCTCAGTGACGATCCTTATTCTCTAGGAAATGCGTCGGTCTGCATTTTGCCGAAGCGTTCATCTTCATCACGCTTGCCTCTATCCTTTCTGCTTTCAATATCACGAAGCGCACAAGGGACCACTATGTCGAGCCCGACCTTCCCGCTGGTCTCGCAAGGCATGTTGTCGCCTCACCTATCATAACTAGTACATGCTTCTGAGATGACCCCATCTCGACAGTTTCATTGACGAAGTGGTGTGTGATTTAACTCCTAGGTCAATCGGAACTGTCACACTGCTTGAATCCCTCCACTCTTCCTGTTGAGCCTTCGCGATTATGGGATTCCGAACAACCTGGTCTGTGGACCCACAAGTTTATCCATTTCATGTACCACGTATTCTGCACAATGGGCAATTCAGTGCACAGATAAAAGATGGTGTCCCTTGGGCGATGGCCCTGGATCCCGGAGGGTTGGATCTTAGTTGTCTCGGCCGACCGAGAAAAGCACGTCCTATGGACAATTAAGCAAGCGGTTCAACTATAGAACCCCATCCGTCGGAGTGAAGGTCAAGGCGGTTTGTGTAGTCTAACGAGTAACGGACTGGGAAAGGGGTCAAGTAAGCGCATGACAGGACGTGAGGCGGATGAACGGTCCCCGCCCCCAAGTTTCCCACGCTCGGCCAATGCAATATTACTGTAGTTCAAGGGACACGCATTGCTTTTGACAAGAGTCCAGTCAGCATCCCTTTCACTCTACCGTAATTTCACATGCACCTTCGAAAGCTGTCATGTTTCATAAGTTCAATGCTAGCGTCCTCTTCGGATGAGGATGTTTGGCGGATGAACAGGATACAGGCGGCTGTTTTTCGGTATCGTTTCTGAGTTTCACCGAGCTTGGCTCCACAGATTCTGGGCTACACAAACGGCTCGCGGAGCGGGGGGTAAACCCATCCCAAGCTTCTCATCCGTGTTTAGCGTTTCCTAAACTTGGGGCCGGAAAGGCGCAAACCTCAAGTGTTTAAAAAAATAAAATGCAGGTTACGTCTGTCTTTAAGCTCTATAAAATATATTTTGGCTACGTCAGTCGATCCCCTTCGCGGGCTTCAATTTTCAGGGACAGCTTTCAACATGTTCATGTATATCACCAACTTTGTGCTATTGTGCTTGTTCACTCCAGCAGTGGCGACACCTGCGGAACGTGCGATCGCTTGTCAATCGCGCACAGCGCGGGGTCTTCAAGGACGTGCTACTGCCATTTCAGACGGGACCAGTTTCAGGTCAGGCACTCTTACCACTGGGCTTGTTGGTCTCAAATGGCAGGCCACTGGGCAAGTACTGTGCCGTCTGGGGAATTGTCGCTTGTCCCTCACCGAATTCTTAGTGCTTTATATCAAGGCGGATGCTCTGCCGGACTTCAGAATATCAACACCTGCTACGAAATGACGTTATCGTCCGACCCGAACGCGCAATTGGAACCCGATGCTGGAAGTCCTCGTCAACGCGTCGAGTTCCTCAATAGTCGCGTAGATAGTTCGTCGGGCTTCATCGCCAAACTGTATTTCGTATTCAAGCTTGATTTGTCCCAGATGGAACATACCGGTACACCTGGCGGTCCTATTTCAATGCCTATAATAGTCAGTATCCACATTTATGTAGTGGGTCTGTTATTCATGGCTCTGACGTTCCATCAGCCGGGGGGACCCGTTTCTTCCACACAATGCAAATGTTTGTCAAATGCTTGTTTTTCATTCGAATCGATGGCCTGACGACATTTCTGACTCCTAGATTCAGCGCCACCTACGGGGGTCCAGTTTACTTTACCAATTTGCTCGTACAGGGGCTCCAGTTCCAAGACGCGGTGACCAACGAGGTACTTGCCTCAATCCCCGTTAGCGACATTCTCTGCAGGCCACTGCAACACACTATCGACATCACATATGGCCAGAACGGGAGGATCAATTATGTCATTACTGATTCCACTACTGGCGCAATTGTCATGAGCTACCGAAGTGGGCAGAGATCGGTCGGAACGGGGGGAAACTATCTTAAGTTCGGGCTTTATCGGGGGACTTGGAGTGGGATGCCTAGCCTAAAGTAAATAAGTTTACGAAGTTTGGGCTGTTACTGTGCTAACTAGCGATAAATTGTCGTCAGGGCTTGGTATGGGGATTACACGGGAAGACAGGTGGCATAAACCGATGGGTCCCGTAGACAATGGTACTTTATGTGTTGCTGCTTTTGCCATCATGGACTCACCTCGACTTATATGCATATTAATAACTTATACTTGTCCAACATTTCTTTTCATGATTAACCGTCCGAATGTGTGAACTGGATACCCTCACAACATTGATTGAACGGTCGTGCGCCGAAGCAAAGGAAAACGCCCAAGGCATAGAGACCAAATACCGCCGAACGCATCCTCGAAAATCCATCTAATAATGCCGGAGCCTCAGGAGTTTTCCACATGATCAAAACCAGAAGGCCAAGCAATGGAGATCTCGAAACGTATTTGGTTCTGTTGGGGTTTGGTTTGGATAAGTTTAGAGCCCGAATGATTCAACTGGTGAGTATGCCATGTAGATTGAAGAATCAAGTTCAAATATCACTGAGATAGATACAGGAGGATCGAATATGAGCAAGCAATTATATTTGACGAGATAGTGCTGCTCAGCAGCTCATAATTGATGTAGCCAATTAACCATATGTTCTCGGAGCCAGCCACAGGTTCTATCGTATGCACACAGGTATATCACAGACTCGAGGACAAAAACGTCCGTGTACATTGCGTAAGTTCGAGCAACTTGCACTCCGCCCCAAGCAAAAGGCTAATATACGCCACCGAGCGACAGCACCAACAAGGGGAAGAGCGGACCGTGTGACTTAATAAATATGCTATCCAATTTTTGGGATACCCCAAGGATGTACGGGAGGAACCTACTGCCTCGAACCAAGCTAGCTAGCGCCTGCAGTTGGACGGATCCCTGATTAAGATCTGTCGTTCAATAGGATCAGAGGCATTAGCCCTTTGGGGGGGGGGGGGGTTCCTGCAGTGAGCCCAACACTCACACAAACGCAGATCAGGCACTATGGGGTAGGTAGTGTGTGGGAGGCTGGATGGATTGCAGAGTTAGGTCGGCCCGTTGGCCCATTTCGCCATCGCAGACTGGGAAACGTCGTTCGGACACCATCCAGGTCCCAATCCATTTTCTGAGACGATGAAACCAAATCCAAGATGCCGCCGCGCTACAGGCGATGAGAGGCCAGTGTTAACGGTCTTCATCGCCCTGTCCTCGGTTCAGGTGTTCCACTAGACTCTTCCCATTCACTCCCCAGAGTCATACCTCTGTGGCAAATATTTTATTGCACAATTTCCGACGCTGAAAATTCGTCATCTTCTTTCCCTTTTATATTCAGTTTCTTCCCTCTGTCTTTCCATGCATTCCCTTTACGTCATATCTGGTGTCCCCTTTTGCTTTTGCTTCTAATTCCCTTCCACTCTGCTCTTGTATGCCTGTTTGCGGACAATAGAAGATAGCTACGTTCGAGCTACCGAAGGAAGTAACTGAACGCAGTTTAAAAGAAACCAAGTCAATAACTGTCGTGGCGACCGATATAGACACTCTGAACCAATCACTTTTCCTCCTCTTTGTCCTCAAGGTCTTGGAAACCCCGGATGATGAAAAGATCATATCGGAACGGAGTGTGCAGGTGTTGCGGCGTCCTGTTTGTACCCAGGCACTGTATTTGCACTCTAACATCACACTGAGACGCCGCGTAAGTTGAGTAAATGAGCGAATACGAACTCTGCATGACTGCCCCATTCCAAACCTCCAAAGCAGCGGGAACACCGTAACCTCAGTAAGTGGGCTTGGTCTGTTCTCTCAGAGCTTACGGAGCTGGAGCCTCACTCAGTCAGACTGTTGCGATCTATTCACTACAATCAATGCCTCCCTCGGTTACATATGTAGGCGGGCTAACGACGGTAGATACAACAGATGGCGGAGTACAATGCATACAATGGCTAATGCCCATGCTGGGTATGGCTGATGATGTCATTGACAACGTCCTTCATCTTACGAAAACCCTGCTCCGACAACACATCCGTTTTCCATTCTTCACCCAGGAGATCCGGTGGGGGAACGTACAAATCGTATGGAGGCGACACTGGTGGAGGTGGAGGTGTTATCTTGTGTGTCACCTTGTCCCCAACGTAGATGCGCACAGAGGTGCCAAGAAAGCTAAGGCCCCAGAGGCGGGGCATTGGACAATCATAGAGCAACGCAAAGAAGCGAGTACGCATGTGTCGATCTGCACGGTGACGAGAGGCAGCTGCGCGAGCCCAGCTCTCATGTTTAACCTCAGCGAAGAGCACAGGGTTCTTGTGGGGATCAAGTACGGCAAGGAAAATGGTACTAGTTTCGGTGCCATCTCGAACGTCGTCAGGGGTAGGGAACCTGGGGGTGACATAGAAGTCGAAACCATCTCCAAAACAGTACTGCGAGAGTTTGATGTAGGGCCCATAATAGCGCTCCTCCACTGTGACATATTCGGCACGGGAGTATTCGAGGATGGCACACAGGCCATCAGGCCAACTGTTAGCTGTTTGGAACGCTAGGAAGAAAGTGAGGATGTGTAGAAAAGGAGGAAGCATTTTCACCGGAAGGAGCAGTTTACACAAAGAAGTTGGTTATAGCTCCTGCTGGAGAACCGTGTCTAATATTACGAAGTCATAGAGGCTGGAGTCCTGCCTAGAACCGTGTGCTGTGGGAGCGGAGCGAGTATTCTGTACAGACAGCTGCTCGTGATTCGGACTTCCTACAGCCTAACCCGGTTAGACCATGTGACTACTCAGTCACAAGACCTAGTTTCGATGACGTTAGGCAGGATACCAGCCTCTTAGATAGAGTGCCCGGTTGGGTCACTTGAACCTCGTGAAAGTTTCAGTAGCGCCGACCCTCACACTCTGTCATAGCCATGAGGATTGCGAGTAATTCGAGCAAAGATTTGTGCAAAAGGACAAAACGGGTCGCCTCGAACGATCGGTGACTGGTTTTGAACGCAGCCCCTTCGCACGGTGGAGCATGGACAGAATTACGCCCAAAAAATTGGCTAGATTAGCAGCGCTTGCTCAGACATGGGCTCCAGCATTGACAAGCTCCACCTGACCCACTTCGCAAGGTAGGTGAAGTTGTGGGACCCGTGGTTCCAATTTAATTCAAACGCCTCTGGTCGTCGTGAAAGACGGTGAGGCAATTTCTTGGAGCAGAAAACACCTTTGCGTCAAGCCAACCCTTTGGTTATTGGTCATCTAAAAATAAACTCCTATGTGGCTTCATCGAAATTTAGACCCTATTATGGGCGCCATGTTCTTGTGTTCGATCTCTACGCATTTCATCTACCAACGTCGGCAACAAATCGAAGAGAAACAGCAGGAATATTCCAGGTTGATGGCTCTGGCAAGCAAGCCAGAAGCTGGGCCTCAAGACTTGTCGCCAATCAAGCCCACGAACCAAAATTGCAGCGGGACTGTGGTCGCCAGCTTTAGTAGCTTTTTTGGAGGCCAAAAGGCTTCCAAGGAAGAATCAGACAGAATGGACGAAGCGGTATGGCGTGAATGGGAACAAGGTGCGTTGTCCTGATCCCAACGCAATCCCAGGAGGTGCTCATCCAATTGAAAAATCATTTTAGTCATGGAAAGAGAAGAGAAAGAGCGCGAGGCTGGAAGACCCCTTGCGGAAAACCCAGTACTAGTGGCTGCGCCACTCGTTCATGCAGGACGCTTTGACACTGAGTCACCGTGACCGCCACATTCTTCCACTTCTCCCACACCGGCAGATAGAAAGAGCACGTACTATGTATGATCTTGCGCGATTGCATTCACACATCCCTCTAGTACATGTTGAGCAATTTGCTTCATCTCAAACCGTTTACGAATTTGATGGCTAAATACATACCACTCAGGAATGAACGCCAATATTTACTCCGTCGCTTTGGGTCCCAATTTACTGGTCCCACCAAATCAGCGAGTGGGAACTTGCTTGTCTGCTCCCAATTATTCCATGAACCAAATGACACCCCTTCCCTTTTTTAGTATCTTTTGTGATTCTTGTCTTCAGCAAGCGCCAAATTTTTCCTCTGTAAATCCTAACCTCCCACCTCGCCTGTTTCGCCGAACCTGCTGACGAGTTCATGAATGTCGTGACCTGCCAAGACAACGTCAAAGAAAGTGTGCGATGCGGAGTAATATTGTGTCGGACTCTTCGTCATGTTGTGATGCATATTTGAACCTGCAGAAAAAAACAATGAACACTCTGTTCGGGGATTACGATGCAACGACCGGGACTGTGAGTGAGACGGATGTCACCCTCCTACATTTCTGACCAACGCCCTTGTGTAGATTGTTCGTGCTACATTTACCATATTCCCTGCGACAGAGGTTGAAGCTACCGCGGAAGCGAAGAGCTTAGGGGTGTCTCAACCTCAGCCTCGCACTCCCAGCTTCTCCAGCGTCCAAGTGCGATCCGGTTTCTTCTCTGAGAGAGAGCCTTCACCTTTGGGAGGTTGCTCCCAGGTCCGCTCCTCCTGATGGAAGAATGAGAATGACCCCTAGCACCGGCGGCGAATGGGAAGCTTGTGAGCAGTCTTCTCCTGTGTTCCCCTTCTATTTCCGAGGTTCTGACTTGTCCGGAACCCAAGGTAGCACCAACTGCAGCCCAACTTCCATGCAAGTCATCCTACGACGGGGGGACAAAGCATAAGTAATCCAAAGCGTGCAGTGGTTCAAGAAGGTTTCGAGGGTTTTCGCGTCTGATCGAGGCTATTGCGGACTATCCCACAAGTTCACCATTTCCCGAAGAGCATGCCTCGTGGTTGCTGCAGACTTTCAGAGACTTCTGAAGAGTTTCTCATTGGCTCTCGAACCTCCAAGCTCTGCTCAAACCCCCGGTCGAGGACGTAGACAGGCCTCCCCTGCTCCGACTGTGGCCACTCCTACAAATCCTTGTGATGTCGCCCCGCAGAGGAGTGCCACGTCGCTTCGGAGATCGGGGGAAACATTGCACGGTTGTCTGAGGAAATTGAAGAGTCAGCCTTCAACCATTCCAGATCTAGCTCGCACCAGGTATACGTTCAGTGACTCCTATATGACTATTCGGGCAACCAGAATGGGATCATTGACCAGGTGATATTCCTTCACCTGGGTCATACATGATGCATCGTCCGATGGGCAAGAATGATTGGGAGTCTTTTTACATTACATATCCTAGTCAATACAAGATCGTTAACCGTCCCGGGGTATAGTATGTGAATGACATGCTCAGTAGATAATAGAGTTCCAATACAATCATGACAATCCTTTAATCAGACCGCTGCCATTTTGATTTTCCAGTGAAACTTCCCCAATCCCACTCTTCTCCCCTTTCCTCCACTTTGTTACCATCTCACCAGCTAACACTGCCGAAACAGACTCGCCTTTTGTCCCTACAGTGATATGAAGCTTAATTTTGCGATCTTCGTTCATCGCAGCGAGAACGGCATGTGCTGCCTTAGAACCAACATCGTTCTCAGGAGTCTCGCGGACACGGAGGTCTTCGACTGTCAAAGCCATCACGTTCCCATCGCACAGAAGACTACCAATAGAGAAGTCAAACAGGGGCAGGAGATAAATAGTTGAGCTATTCTTCCGAGGACCTGGAGGTCTGTTCAATGCATTACAGGCATCCCATAGTCGCTCCTCAGCTGGGAGACTGTTGGAATGGACAATGGTGATGTGCGGCCTCGCGGAGTATCGTTTTTCCTCCTTTAACTCATCCCAAAACTTTAGGGCAACATTCGGCGCGTTGTCTTGCGATAATGCTTTTTCAACGATGTTTAGCAGATCGATTTCAGCCAGAAGTCCATAGTACCGCGCCCTGTCTTTCGTTCTTGTCGCTTGACTCTCCTTTTTGACAGTGACCTTATATCCCAGAGCGAAGTCACAGGCTTCGGCAATTTGCTCATCATTCGGCCGTTGAAGGTCTGGGAGAAGCGGGAGGAGACCATCGATAACCTTCCTGACATTCTCTTCTAACGACTCGGTTCGGGGTCCAACTCGATAACATCATCTACCTCCCCATCCGCAAGCTCTTGGGACCCTGTAATGAAAAGCCAGATAATCTCCTCGTGCGAGACGGCCGCAGGACGTAGGGACTGATGATTGTCCCCTCTGCGAAGTATACGATCCGCACAGAGACGGTGAACGGTGGCGAGGGGAGCCTTGCGGATATTCCAGTACAAAGCTATGAGACGAATTGGGAGGGGGTCGGCACGCTCCTCCCGCGCGACGCTTTCTTCGTATATGGTTCCCGCTTCAAGAATTCCTACCCTGTGCTGCCTGAGATGATTGTTCCTGCGTACGAAAAGATTCAAGAAAGTTCGGGATCCCTAGGAAATGGAAACGAACCGATCGGCGATGACCACGTCATACTCCTTCAACAACTTCGTAATATTACTTTGGAATATGGAGGCTGTTTTCTTGGCCTTCACATCATCGCTTTGAGTATGCCCAAAACCGAACAACCGAGAAAGGGCAACAGAAAGAGCAGTTTTGCCTGAAATCGATCACGTACGTGCGACCCGTTAATTCAGAAGATGACATTTATCATAAACAACGTACCGCAGCCAGGCACTGCAATAGGAACTATGATGGTCTTACCAAACTCTTTCCGCGGAGTGGTAGTGACGGCTTCTGGGTTGGCAAGAGCATGTGCCCCATCCTTTTTCAAGGCTCCCCCTGCGGCGATCAGCTTCCTTTGACCTGTGGGCGTCTCTAGCCACTTCAAAAACCTCTCTCGCGTAGCGACGACACCTTGGCCTTTCGAGAAACCCTCGAATTCTTTGGGGTGAGCGTCGATTTCATCCTCGACCCAGTTACGGTATACTCGAGATTCAGGCCGCTCCAGGCGCGACTTCGGTATGTTGAGTGGTTTGCTGCTATCGCGTTTGTATGATAGGATTGTCTTGGTGATTTCGCGCCACGCCCGGTACATAAGGTATGGTTCATCAAATTTCACTTTGAAAAAGAAATCCGTGCCGGGGGATAAGGAGGAGGTGTATGTATATCTCTTGGGTCGACTTTGGCAGGCGCCTCCGATGAATCGCGTGCCTTCACCCTGGTACGAACAACGAAACCCTCAACTGCATCACCGTTCCAGAAGCCCGTTTGGGCGACATCGTCTGTGAACTCTTTGACTTCATTAACGGAGTTGAGGGTTACATAGGCAGTTTTGATGAACCCGAATTCCTCAGCAAAGGCGTCAACGTCAGAAGGTGGAGCAGTCGAGAAGGCTCCTTGATTTTTGTTAAGGCCGTGTAAATGGAGGCCAGTGAGCTCTAGAGGGTACGCAAGGACGTGTTCCTCGAATGAATCGTCACAGAGCTTGGAACAGTAAAATCAGCATGGCTTTGGCGTGGTCAGAATGAGGGACATACTTCGGCCACCGCGGTTATATTTTCCCTTAGCAATCGGCTTGCAAGCTCCTCGGGCTTTTTCCCCTTGGCTTTGAGATGCTTATACAGCCATTTCTCCCCTTGCATTGCATGGCTAATTTCTGCTCCTGTATGTTGGCCTACCGAGTGTTTAGAGGTCACAATTAGCTTATCATTTGCGAGGGCGGCGACGAAAATGATGCAGCCGTTCGATTTAAGAGTAAGATAGTAGGGGCTGTTGTGTTTTTCTCGAGAGCTGGCCACTGCGTAAAAGCGGTTTAAATGGAAATCGCATAACAACGATTCGGAGCAGACTCACGCACCGTATTCCACGGAACTTCACCGATGTTGAAGAACTTATCATAC